TTCGGACGGTCCTACAGGCCGGGAGAACTGAGAGGCCAGCCAAGTCTGGGTGGACGGATCGAACGGCATCTGCAGCCAGTTTCTTAAGATCCACTGTGGGATGGACCTTTACAAGAGATCCTTCCTGCCTACAGCCATAAGTGTCTATAACATCTCTTAATGAAATGAGGACAACGAGTTACTACAACAAATAATTTCTCTCTGGGATTAATAAAGTATTTTTGAATTGAATTTGAATTGAACTAAAATCAATGATAAAATCAACTAAAATCAAAGATAAAATCAACAAAAATCAAAGATAAAATCAACTAAATCAAAGATAAAATCAACTAAAATCAAAGATAAAATCAACAAAAATCAATAAAATCAAAATCTAAAATAGTTAAATCTGGTCCTCTGGACATTCAATGTCCAGAGGACCAGATTTAACTTTTTTAGATTTTTCTATCTGGATTATTGAGCATGCATCAGGATAATAATAAAATCAACTAAAATCAGTGATACAATCAACTAAAATCAATGATAAAATCAACTATAATCAAAAATGAAATCAACAAAAATCAATAATAAAATCAACTAAAATCTGTAATAAAATCAACTAAAATCAATGATAAAATCAACTAAAATCAAAGATAAAATCAACAAAAATCAATAATAAAATCAACTAAAATCAGTGATACAATCAACTAAAATCAATGATAAAATCAACTAAAATCAAAGATAAAATAACAAAAATCAATAATAAAATCAACTAAAATCAGTGATACAATCAACTAAAATCAATGATAAAATCAACTAAAATCAAAGATAAAATCAACAAAAATCAAAGATAAAATCAACTAAGATCTGTAATAAAATAAACTAAAATCAAAGATAAAATCAACAAAAATCAAAGATAAAATCAACAAAAATCAATGATAAAATCAACAAAAATCAATAATAAAATCAACTAAAATCTGTAATAAAATAACTAAAATCAATGATAAAATCAACTAAAATCAAAGATAAAAATCAATAAAAATCAAAGATAAAATCAACTAAAAATCAACTAAAATCAAAGATAATATCAACAAAAATCAATAATAAAATCAACTAAAATCAAAGATAAAATCAACTAAAATCAATGATAAAATCAACTAAAATCAAAGACAAAATCAACAAAAATCAAAGATAAAATCAACAAAAATCAATGATAAAATCAACTAAAATCAGTGATACAATCATGTGGAGACAGAATAGGCTTGCTTAAAAGGAAAAGTCTTTAAGCCTTTGGCTGGGGCCAATTTCAACTATTTTTATATGTGAATGTGAGGCCCATGTTTGTTTGTTTGCCATTCTTAAATATTATTCATATTTATTTTTGATTACTTAATTTCATATTTATATTCCAGGTGGAAGGTGCAGTCCAGTCTTGTGTGGGTTCCGTTCCACTCGTGTCTCGTGCATCACAGCTTGTGAGTGAATTTCTGTTCATGTTACCTTGAACCATCCTTTTGTCTTTTAGTTGACTGAACACTGGAAAGCCTCAGCCTTGGCTGAATATTTATTTTAAGAATCATTATTGCCTCCGTTAGAATAGGTTTTTTAACTTAGTGTTAATAAAATTTATATTGTATCTTGGAACAATCTCCTGCTTACTTGTAGACAAACCCAAGTGCCTTTTCTGTGTATAAATTATGTCCTTGGATGAAAGTCCTAACATGGTGATCCAGTAAGGTTATAAAATAAAAATAACATCCATACCCAAGCTCATCACATATGTATGCAAATTGTTCTAGTGTTATGTAATTAGTTATTTAAAGGTTTTTAATTATTTTAAACATTCTTCAATTAAAACACATTTGAGCATCATACTGTTTTTTTTATTATTTAATTTGTGGATTGATTCAGTTGTATTCAAAGGAAAACAAGTGTAATTTACAATATCTAGTAAAAAAAAAAAAAAACAACCTTAACTATTTAACATTTTATAACTGTACACTATAAATTGATAGTGGATTATAGATTTTTTTTTTAAATTATGCAATTTCATTTGAAAGAAATTGGCACATTTCTGTATTTTTCATGAGTAACAACTATTTACAGTATTTACAGTGATTCACAGCTTGAGACTGAATATTAAAAATGTGAAGGAACAAAAGGGTGAGACTTGTGCAGTTATAAAGCCCTGGCACACTCCTATACTCAAGTCCTTCATTTACAGACCAAGAGCCCACGGGCATTTTCAGTCCACCATCAGCAGTAGTTGCTGGTTTAGCATGCATGTGCAGACAGGCCTGGAAAGTCTTGTTCTTGCATTATAATAACATGTTGTGAAAAGATGCATGCGTATAAGGGTCTAAAAACATTACGTTATTGATGACGTGCAGCTCATGCAGTGTTCCTGTCAAACATAAACAAAGAAGAAGATAAATTTAATGTTTAGAGCCATCATGAACTTCATCATACATTTGTATTTTCTTTCTGTTTAGGTGAGGAGTGTTACTCTTAATTAAGTAAATGTTGCAAAACTTTTTTCAAGAAGGGAGCATTTTGAACTAATGAGTGGAACAGGATAAAATACATGTTCATAATATCTTGATTTTCTTGAGTATAAGAAGAAAAAACAAACATTAAAGTCTCAGACGTTTGGAGAGAACAAGTTGATGAAGTGATTTAACAGCTCATTGAGAATACTAACAGAGTTATTGTCTCTGTCAAACAAACAGGTTTGACTGGTAAATTTCCTCTTTAAATTATGACATAATTCACATATTGTTCTCTTGTCTATACAGGTAAAGCTTTGAATAAACAAAAGCTTTTTTTTTTCTTCAGGGGAAATATAAGTGCAGTTTTTCTGTGTATTTTTCTTTCCAATATATTTTCAAAAATCAGCCATGACTGTAATGATCTGGATGTTTGAAACTGAGACCTTAAGGGTCATTTTGATCCAAGGTCAGTGGGAAGGTTAAACCAGATCAACCATTCCCTTCTTTTAAGTCAGGTAAAATGATGCTGAAGACCAAAACCTGGCTGAAGTTTTACTCCATCCCTCACATGTTGAACCAATGGTTTGGGCCTAATACAAATTATTATAATTCATACATTGTATCACTTCTGTCACACAGCCTGACATATTATTTCTCTGTTCATCATCTAAACAAATCATAAACCTCATCATTCAGAATTTTTAAAATGTGAATTACTGTATATCTTGTGATTTAGCTGGCATGTTTGATAGTAATGCCATCATAATGCAACACACACAAATGACTGGCCTGTGGCTAGAATGGTCCTTGAAGGAATGCATAGCCCCTGATCATTTTCATGCCAGAGATTTAGGCTAAACTGATATTAAGTTGAGAAATAAAAGAGTTGTAGTCGTTTTGGTCAAACCAAATGTTAACCCACTATTGGTAAAATCAACCAAGGTGTTGCCATTTTTACAGGTCTCCCTTGCAAATGAATCCTTGTGACGCAGTGAGATCAACCTGTATAAATAAAGGTTGAACGAGTTTTTGTGTTGTTCAAGGTTAATTAACCGTGGAGGCCTTCTTAAATTGGGTTGACTCCACAAGTTAATAAGTTGAAGCCAGTGGCACACATATTTGCTGAATTTGGTTTAAATAATCGGAAATGAGCACAGAAATTAGTAAATTAGCTACAAAAATCTTAAATTAGCAAAAAAATAGCTAAAAAGAAAATCCGGAAAGAAGATTAAATCACCAGAAGGAAGTCGAGGGAGCACAACTTTGCCCAGTTAGGCTTAAAGACAGAAATGAGCACAAAACAGTGGAAATTATCTGGAAAAAGCAGAAATTTGCCCCCCCAGCTAAATAGTAGAAGTTTGAGTTACCAGAAGGAAGTGGAGAGAGCACAATTTTGCTGAATTAGGCTGAGAAAAGTTTAAATAAGTGCAAAAAATATGGAATTAGTTGAAACAGCTAAATTCAGCATAAAACAGCTGAAATAGCAGAAATAGCAAACTTACAGAAATAGGACGAAAGGAGCATAACACACATACTATATGTTAGTTATGTGCAATATACATAATATGCATTTTAGTTTACTACCTTAATTATTTACACAAATTCATCCTACTTGCACCATTATATTCTACCATATTGTTGTTTACTATTTTCTCTTAGGATCTTGTAAATATTATAAGTACTTTTTTTAATTTTTATGCACTTCATTTCTTATTGCATGCTTTAATATTTTTCTTGTTTTGTTTGTTTTTTTTGTTTTTGGCAAGTCAAAAACGTTCTTCTCATCCTGAGCATTTCTGTTACCTTGTGTTAACCTATAACACATAAACATAACTTGAACTTGAACAAGCGAAAATGATCAGAAAGAAGTTAGAAGAAGCACAAAAATGTTGTAGTTAGCAGAAAGAATGTGAAAGGAGCACAAAATAGCTGAAATGAGCTGAAATGAGCTGAAAAAAATGCTTAAATTTCACAAGGAAGCTGAAAGAAGCTGAACCAGAACAAGATGTGATAGGAGCAGTAAAATGATCTAAATATTTGAAGGATGTAAAATGAGCTCAATTCATTTTCTATGAGAAAAAAAAAAGTCAGAAAAGGATAAATATTTAAAAAAAGCTAAAGTTTCACCAAAAGTCATAGCATCCTTATCCTGAACAATCATTGATATATGATTTGTTGAAATAGTACAAAAATTTTGGAACGAGAAAGATGCTGAAAAATGGATCTCAATAGTTAGAATGCTTCATAAACATTCACACAATTAATTTGCCGACCTTTTTCATAGCAATAATGCAACAAAATAAAGCAACAGGAGGTAATGCGCAAATGCGGCCACTAGATGGCGGCAGCCAGCTAACTCATCGATCTATTTAAACCTACCTGACTCTGCGTATGTAGTCGAATTAAATTCAACATTTTATTGCTTTATCTCCGTGTGGCGATAAGATTAGGTGTTGAAGTACCGAGCATCAGTTTCGGTGGAAGTCTGAACAGGTTACGCAAGAGTTTGGCAGTTTGTTTAACACCGCCCATCAGGTGTAGCTGCAGGCTGAGTCACGTTTTCACTTCCGTCCAGACGGGAGCGACTCTCTGCTGGGACTGCTGAATTCATGCCTCATGCCTTTTGGGACGTCGGGGAAGAGACTTTTCCACTGGAATTAGACAGACCCGCGGGAGGGGACGGAGTATAAATGTTTTTCCACAAGTGTAATCGGACATGGCAGCTGGTGTTACTCGCAGGACTCGTGTTGCCAGGTGAGTTTAAAGCGCAGGCCTTCACCTGTCAGACATGGATCAACTATAAAGTCACAAGTCCTCGTTTGTTGACTTCTAATGAGGAACTTGTGCTTTCTAATGTCCCACTAGCGTTATTAAGGCTTTAGGTCCAATGGTTATTTTAATGTTATATTCTTAAAAGTTTGTTTAGGCAGCAGGTGCTGGTCTTTAAACCAGGTACAATATATAATCTCAGAAACGCCCAACATGGGAAGGCTTTGCCATGTATTTCACCCAAACTATAATATTTAAGCATTGTGTAGAAATAAGAGGCTAGAAGAACTTTTAACAGTAACTTAGTTTTTAGGTTCTTTTCATACTCTTTCCTTGTGGAAGAATTTGGGTCTGATCTTATGAAGGTGTTTGTAAATTGATAGGTCTTTAAAAAGCCCAGGCAGAATGACAAAAGTGTTTTTATTCAGCCATTCAGTTGTAGATTTGAGGATTTGCTTTTGATCTTTGTCCTGTTGCATTGGAGCCAGACTTCAATTCCTCAATGGATGGCCTCATCCGTCCATCCATTATCTTTACCCGCTTCTTTCTTTTGGAGTCGCTGGTGCCCATGTCCAGCTATCACTGTGCGAGAGGTGGGGGACACCCTGAAGAAGTCCCAAGTCCATCACAGACATGGAGACAAACGAGACAAACAACCAAATGTAGCGTTCAGGCGTTACTGTTTCATACCTATTTGCAATACCTTGGTGGTCCTCAGGCTGCTTCTGTGAGTAGCGAGTCGTCTGGCCTAAAACATCTGATTGTTGTGCATGATGATTGATTGATTTGAATAGGTGTGTTTTGCACGTGTTAAAAGTCTACTTTTGAAATCCCAACATGAGGTTGTCTTGAAACACAGCAGTGAAGGCGGTTTGCAGGCTGTAAACTGAGGAAGTCCTCTGGATGGGGGATGGAATGTTTCTTACTGGTCCAGATGACACGATTTATTTGCAATCCCATTTCTGATTTTTTATTTTATTTTATTAATTATGTGAATGAGTAATGGTAATGGAGATAAACATCTATTTATTTAAAATATTAACCATATTTGTGCCTTTGTTGACAAACAGCAGGGGGTGTCTAGATCCACGTCTGTCAGGTTTTAGTTTTCCTGCTCCAACGTGCCTGATTTAAACCGTTGATTTTCCTCTTCAGCGTTTGATCAAGTTCTGCAAAAATCTGTGAATGTCCCATTTCTTTCAGTAAGGTGTTTTGAAGTAGAAATAAATCTAAAACATGCAGGAGAGTGGTCCTTGAGGAGCAGAGGTTTACAGACATGACATCAACATATCTATTCCCAAGTGATTCAAGCCAACCTTAACCAATTCAAACTCTTTTCTAACCCTAACATACAGTAAATGCTTTTTTTTTGTTGCTATATTTTGGTTTCTTTTATTGTGATTTCCATATATTCTTTATTTTTTTTGCTCTTACCCATTGACCCCTCACCCTAATGTTGACCACATTTTAACCAGTAAATGTGTTGGAGTATCCGATAATAGGTATAAATATTTCATATTTGTAAAAGTCAGGGTTTCAAGTGACTAAAAACTGACATGGCAAAGGAACAACCCCACACACCCAGATTTGGTGGTTACAAAACCGGCCCAAATCATAATTTCTCCACCTCCATGCCTGACCGTTACGGTAATGTATTTATTTAGTTATGATGGGGTTAGTTTTTGCTGCGCTTTATCATTACTTTGTGTACAACGAGTTTTTCACTCATGCCTTGTTTGAAACTTTTTTTTTTTTTAATAAGAGCATTTTTCCCGTCAGTGTTGACAAATGAATCATGAATTGTCGCTCTTTAGCTGTAACTGGGTGATTCTCTCTTCAGCGAGTCAGGAGAGATAAAAGCTTGATTGTGAAATTATTCAATTGGGTGTAAAAGTTGAACAAGACCCAGCATGTGTCAACATACTTTTGTCCAACAACAATGACACACCAGTGCCTTACACCAGTGCCTTACACCAGTGACTTTCACACTTTCTTTCATATCCAACAGTGTGTATTCTATGAGCCAGTGTGTGTGTGTGTTAATGTTATCTGTTAGTGTAACAAAGTTAAGTCAGGTCCTCTGGACGTCCAAGACTTTGTTAGATTCTTCTACCTGGATTATTGAGCATGCATCAGGTTGTCTGTTAATGTTATTCAGGGCCTGTTCAGGATTCAAATGGGCGAAGTCATCCAGCCTTGCTATCAAAGATAAGCTTTGTTGAACATAACACCTGCTGTCTCTGTGCCATGAGCCTAACATGGCCATGTCATCAAACCCAAATATGCTAAGCACACAGTCAGCAGTGTTCTTGTTTTGTAAAGGTTACAAAATAAGCCTTTTCAGGTAGACCGCACAGCTGTAAAAACTCATGGTTGGTCAAAAATTGTTTCCTATCGCTGCACAGTTTTCTTCCCATATTTGTGGAAGGCTATCGATTTCCATGTGAAATCTGTGATTTGCAGCAGTTTAAATATTTTTGGTTATTGCAATGGTTTATTGTCTGGGTGTCCAAAAACGCCTTTAAAAAGCTTTCAGTTGATCCCAAATGCTGCTGCTGAGTTTTAATGAGAGTTGGTAGTAGAGATCATATCTCTCCAGTTTTAGCTTCTCCATTCAAAATCTTACAAAGCTCTCAGCAACCTTGCTCCATCTTATATTCAAGGTCTTATTGTTCCATATTTTCCTAATAGAGCACTCCACTCTCAGACTGCAGGCTTAAGCCCCCAGTATACTGCCGCGTACTTCCATACGCAGAGGTACGCACGTACGTACGCAGAGGTACGAGCGTACCCCCCAGGGCATGTCCGTGCAAAGCTCAATTTTTTACGACCGCATACGCGTACGCGGTGTCGCACAATAAACTGCCCAGCGACGGACTGTTTTGTATGCGACACCAATGTATTAAATTCCCCTTCTTCATCCCTGATCTGGCCTTTTGTTTTGTTTTTTTGCCAAGAGGCAGTGATCTCTTCCTCCTCCGTTGATGCCATGACTGAAATGGTGAGAAATGAAAGAATTTGTCACGAGCGAATTAAACTCAGGTCCAGCTTGGCTGCGGGAGGGTCTGGAGATTTCCTGGTGGGCTGGTCTGATGTGTGGAATGTAGAGCCAGCGCGCTCTGTTTTTTTTTAATTTTTTTAGATCTTTTTATTAACAACATATAAACACAGAACACCGCTGGGCGGAGGCTGCCAGCGCTCGCTTTTTTTTTCCTTTTTTCCGACCTGTCAATCATTCCAGTTGGCGTGTCAGCAAATGACCAATCGGCAACCTCAATTTGTCCCAAAGGTAAACGCCCCTTGTCTGTGAAGCTGCTCTGCAGCTGCTCGGGGTGTACGCTGGAGTATCATGTCTGAACCCTCTGCGTACAGTACACGCATACATACGCGTGAACGGACGTACGCGGCTGTATACTGGAGCCTTTACTTGTGGTTCCTAGTGTTTCCAAGAGCAGAATGGGAGGAAGATCTTTCAGTTATCAGGCTCCTCTCATGTGGAACCAACTTTCCAGTTTCTGTCTATGAGGCTGACACATTGTCCAGTTTTAAGACTGGGCTTAAGACTTTCCTTTTGGATAAATCCTGTAGTTAGGGTTATGCTACCATAGATGGAACTGGAGGACAAACTGACCTAATTTTTAAAAAAGAATTGTTACAAATGCATTCATATGAATAGTTTAAATTTGAAATTATTTCTGTCTTAACATGTGATTCTCAGCCTGCCATTGTGTATCTGTTCCCCTCAAACTCAGCCGGTCGAAGCAAATGGCCTCTTGTCCTTAGCCTGGTTCTGTTAGAGGTTTCTTCCTCATGAAGGAGTTATTTTTTCACTGTTGCCTTTATGTCATCAAAGTTCATGCTCAATCATCCAGGCACCAAATCTAATAATGCTCAGTCAGGTCATCTGGACAGTTTCTTTTTTTTTTAGAGACGTTTCGCCTTCTATCCGGAGGGCTTCATCAGTCTGAGGAGTCCTAAGTAAACCATTTCCCCACTAAACAGTACACTCCCTAAGTGGACCAACCAGTTTGCTGGAGATAAGATGCTGCCTTCATGCTTGCTCAAGACGAGAGTTCTGCAATGAAGTTAAATTCAAAGCAGCCTTCTCCTCAGATAAATAATGTTTCAAACTTAATTTTATGTATATTAATGTCTCTGTACAGTGCCCTGAAATGACTTCTGTTGTGACTTTGCGCTATATTGACTTTGATCCTACAAGTACCTGTTGACCTTGCCAGGCCAGCGCTGTAAGAATTTGTTCTTAGCGTTTATGCCTGGTTAAGTAAAGGTGAAATAAATATAAATAAAGTGAAATGAATTGGAACTTTTTCAGTTAAAATGTCTTTGTAAACACAGCACCATTTCTAGACATGTCTTCGTCCACATGAAAATGCTTAAAACGGTCAAAAACTCAGTGGAAACCATGCCAGGCCTGTATGTGGTGCTGTAACACTGCTTCATATACACCAAAAACAGGAAGCAAGGCGTGGAGCATGCACACAGAGCTTGCACACAGATTTGAACAATAATAACAAGCGGACCCTCTTGGGTTGAATGTTAGATTGAAGGAGGATCTCTGACATGATTATTTTCTAAGGGTTGTGTTTTGGCTACCTAAGGGTGGATTTTCACAGTAGAACTTGTGTTGGCATCTCTTATGAATATCCGGCACAATAACATTCTTTCAAGGTTTACAAAAACAAATTTAAGGAAGTCAAAATTCCAGCAATAGTAGAAAATAGCAAACGGCTTCATTAACCAACCATTTGTTTCATATGGTGCCAACAAAGACGTCAGAACCCTGCGTCTCTGATTTTTATTGGAATACAGCCTAAATGTGTCGTTCTTTTTTTCAGGGGATATGAGTTAGTTTTATTTGTACAGTAAATTAAACAGAGAGGTGTTTGTCGTTGCATCACTGATCAACCATACAGATACGAACGATCAAGACCGGTTTGACCTGAATTCCTGCTTGAACACTGTGAGCCTTCAGAGGTGTTTATTACAGGCTTACTTTAATGTCATTGTTCTACATAAGGATCTGTCTTTCCACCAGTTTTCTATACAGTATATCAGTTTTCTTACCAATCACCTACATTTAAGCATGCTGTATTGTTCCAAACATTTACTGTAGCTTCTTAAAATGCTCTTAAAGAAAAACCCATGACATTACTCCACTTTAACGTTGTCTCACCTCTCCGCAGCCTTCACCCAGGAGCCAACTGGAAAACAGAACTAGTGTCCGACATTAGTAACCGCCTCATGTTTATGAGCTGTGTATTTGATTTTTAGAACATTTGAAACGAAAGGCCCGTCTCAATTCAATTTGTCTGATTTATCCAGACTTTGCACCAGGAACGGTACTCTGGCTACAGTTTTCTAACACATTGTTCTTTATTTCAGGGATACGACAGGTCTGTGGAATAGAAATTTTCACTCCGAGTGAGGTGGAAGCTGTCAACGGGACCAGCGTGAAACTGAAGTGCACCTTCAGCTCCACTCATTCTGTGTCACTTCAGTCAGTCACCGTGTCCTGGTCCTTCCGACCCCTTACGGGAGGAACTGATGAATCGGTGAGTAGAAATAATTTTCTGGATCAAATACTGCTTGTTTATTTAAATAGCATCAATGGATTGTAGCTAATTCTGTAGAGTCTTATTCTGTTCACGTAGACTGAAGATTCAAAGGTAAGTACCTTCATATTTAGTTTATTTTCCTCATTTGTAGTTTTTCTTCTCGGTTGTTGATGAATCTATTTTCTCTCCGTTTACCATTTTTGGATTTTTTTTTATTTTTTGGGTTTTGAATTAAAACTGTACTCAAAACACTATTAAAACTAAGATGAAACTGTACTCTGGTTAAATCCTGAGAAATAGTTACAGACTAGTTGGACTTTTATACTCTCCAGGTTAAGATGCACTTTTGGAAATCTCAAAGTTCATGTTCCATAATCCAGATAGAAAAATCCAACAAAGTTAAGTCAGGTCCTCTGGACGTTTTTTGCTGAAACGTTTTGTCTTTCGTTCAAAAGACTTCATCAGTCCGAGGAGCCACAACAAACTCAGTCTTATAAATAGCACCTTACGTAGTGGGTCAACCAGTTTGATGGTGCAAAGATGGTTTCTAGAGTTCACCCTCTCCCCCGCCGACTCATTTGAGGTAGTTTTGGCCAAAGTGTTTCAAATTATCAAAGTTCATGCTCAAAATATAATAATAGTATAATCATTTTGGAAATAGTATTTTTACTTACTTACCTTTTTGTTTTTGATTTGTGACCCCTGCTGTGACAGAGCTCAAGTTCTAGTGCAATTTAAAAATTTTATTTTTTTGCTGTAAAAAATATTTGCATATAGATGAGTTACACTGTCTAGCAATACCAGCAACTAGCATAAAATCTTCCTATTCTACCTTTACATTGAAGTTTTCTACAAGGTATGTCTTCAAAAATAATCCCTTTACATTAATTCTTTTTTATTTCCTTTAAAATATATCATTTTTCTCTGCCGGTTGCTGTACTGCCCATAATCAATTTGTATAATGTTACTGAGAAGCTGAAGGATTCTTCTTTTTACACATATGTTGAATTTCTATTGACATCACTCCAGACCAAAAAAATCAAGTTTTTAACCTGACACTCGTGTAAACAAAAGGATCTTGTTGATAATCAGGTGACAAATCACATAAAAGTTCAACAAACTGTCAATTAGAAGCTTTTGAGGTGGAAAATTGGAAAATGATAATAATTCAATAAAGAAGAATTCCTCGTTGTCTCATTTTGCCAGCATATGCAGTTTCCTCAACCATTATACAAGCAGGGTGCCCTGTCAACAGAACTGAGCGCCCTGCTACTGGACACCCCCCCCCCCCCCCCCGCGCGCTTGACATCTGTTGATATTAACATTAGCACTAAGCTAGCGGCACATAATATGATGTACTAGCTAACAAGCTACATGTTGGATGCTGTCCATCACAGTGCACTAAAATTCATAACTGGCTGTAACTACCGTACCCATCACTGCACCCTGTATTCACTGGTTAACTGGACATCATTAACTTCACGCACACTCTCACTGGTACATTTTCATCTTTAAATCACTTCTTGGTCTGCTGCCTTCATACATCTCCTCCTACATGTCTCTGCGTGAGTGCAGCTACAGCGTGCGCTCTCAGGACATTATTGCCTGCAGTGTTCCCTCAGTGAGGACTGAACTCAGCAAAAGGGCCTTCTCCTACTCTGCTCCTTGTTATTGTTATCCACTGTTGTCATCACTTTGTTAAAGAAATCAGGTCTCTTTTGTAACTGAGTCCCCGAGGCTCAATGGGATTAACCTGTATAATTAAAGGCTGAAGGAATGAATAATCCAGGTATAAAATCCAACAATTTTCATCTGGACGGTTTCTATTTTTTTTGTGCTGCGACGTTTCGTTCTCCATCCAGAAGGTTGGAACAAACAAAACTTATTCTCCCCCAACAGCTTACTCCAAATTGGAAAAAAAAACTGTTATGTTGGTGCTAAGATGGCCTCTGGGGTATGCCCTCTCCTCCGGTGCCCTCCCTCTCCCCCGTCATCACAGTCATGTCAAACTGGTTCAAAACACCAAAGTCCATGCTCATTAATGCAGGTATAAAATCCAAAATCCTGATGCATGCTCAATAATCCAGGTAGAAAAATCCAAAAAAGTTCAATCTGGTCCTCTGGACATTCAAAAAAAAAAACAAAGCAAAAAAATGTAGAAACGTTTCGTCTCTCATCCGAAAGACTTCCTCAGTCTGAGGTGCTGTATTCAGCTCAGTCTCTTAAATAGCACCTTCTCAGAGTGGATCAACCAGTTTTGCTGATGACAACCAAAACCAGCTGATCACATGCTCAAGAAAGACCATCAGCCTAACAATGGATCATTAGCACACTGATGGCTGTTTACTGTTCACAGAGGGCTGAGTGATACTAGCAATCACAGCATTGTAAGAGGGGGAGAGTTGAACCCAGAGGCCTCCACCCCTGTTTAATGATGGACGATTTCTTTTCACAAAGATGGCCTCCTTTACTCCTCTCTCAAACCATCGTTCCTCTCTGTCCAGGATGTGAACATCATCATCCCTGAAAGAGTGACCGCTGGCCTGGAGATGCGTGAAGACCGCAGAGTCCTGGCCTGATGATGTTGATCTTCTGTGCTGGTCCATCCTTTTGGCCAGTGGCTGTTTAGTTTCCCCGATGTAAAACTGATCACAGCCCTCCTGACACTGAACAGCATACACAATATTACTCTGTTTGTGCCGTGGGACTGGATCTTTGGGATGAACCAGTCTTTGCCGTAATGTATTTTGGGGTTTAAAAGCCACTGGGACGTTGTGTTTAGAAAATAAATGTCTCAGTTTCTCTGATACTCCCTCAACATACAGAATGACCACTGGTCTGGGTTCCTCCTTTTCACCTGATGGCTGACTGGAGTCCTGTTTGGGTTTCTTCTCTGCTTTCAAGAAGGCCCAGTTAGGATATCCACATTTATCTAGAGCCTGTCTTGTGTGGGATTTCTCCTTCTGCCTGACTCCTGAGTTAGTGGGGATGCTGTCTGCTCTGTGATACAGAGTCCTGATGACTCCTAACTTGTGCTCCAAAGGGTGATGGTAGTCAAACTGCAAATTCTAAAAGTGGGAGTCAAACTGCAAAGTATTGCAAAGTTTTGCTCCCACTTTTAGAATTTGCAGTTTGACTACCATCACCCTTTGAAGCACAAGTTAGGAGTCATCAGGACTCTGTATCACAGAGCAGACAGCATCCCCACTAACTCAGGAGCCAGGCAGAAGGAGAAATCCCACACAAGACAGGCTCTAGATAAATGTGGATATCCTAACTGGGCCTTCCTGAAAGCAGAGAAGAAACCCAAACAGGACTCCAGTCAGCCAACAGGTGAAAAGGTGGAACCCAGACCAGTGGTCATTCCGTATGTTGAGGGAGTATCAGAGAAACTGAGACGTTTATTTTCTAAATACAACGTCCCAGTGGCTTTTAAACCCCAAAATACATTACGGCAAAGACTGGTTCATCCCAAAGATCCAGTCCCCCGGCACAAACAGAGTAATGTTGTGTATGCTGTTCAGTGTCAGGAGGGCTGTGATCAGTCTTACATCGGGGAAACTAAACAGCCACTGGCCAAAAGGATGGCCCAGCACAGAAGATCAACATCATCAGGCCAGGACTCTGCGGTCTACACTCATCTCCAGGCCAGAGGTCACTCTTTCAGGGATGAAGATGTTCACATCCTGGACAGAGAGGAACGATGGTTTGAGAGATGAGTAAAGGAGGCCATCTTTGTGAAAAGAAATCGTCCATTGTTAAACAGTGGTGGAGGCCTCCGGGTTCAACTGTCCCCCTCTTACAATGCTGTGATTGCTAGTATCACTCAGCCCTCTGTGAATAGTAAACAGCCATCAGTGTGCTAATGATCCATTGTTAGGCTGATGGTCCTTCCTGACCATGTGATCAGCTGGTTTTGGTTGTCAGCAGCAAACTGGTTGATCCACTCTGAGAAGGTGCTATTTAAGAGACTGAGCTGAAAATAGCACCTCAGACTGAGGAAGTCTCTCGGATGAGAGACGAAATGTTTCTACATTTTTTTGCTTTTTTTTTTTTTTTTTGAATGTCCAGAGTTCCAGATTGAACTTTTTTGGATAGAAAATCCAATGTTCAGTCAGGTCATCTGGATGGTTTCTTTTTTTGTGTGTGTTGAGACGTTTCACTCTCCATTCGAAAGGCTTCATCAGGTAAATGGGTAATGCTCTGCTTCCCTCACGCTGAGCCATCAACACCCCCCCCCCCCCCCCCGACAAATGTTGGTACAAACAATGCACGACACAGTCGTGTCTCTGGCATCCCCATCTTCTGTCAACAAAAAAATTTCGGACAATATGAGTGCCCTGATAAGGCAGGTAAACTAGAGCAAACACTGATATGTTTGCTCAGACCTCAACATTTTAGCCAGCATGTTTTTCTTTACCAATTATTAGGCGGTTGTGAAGGTTCTTTTTCATCATATCTGAGTAAATGGCTGAAATATGAGTGTTTCCTTGTGGGTGGCACTCGGAAACCATCTCCACTTAGACACAAACTTAATATAGGCAGCGGATTTGGTGACAGAGTTATTTCAAAATGCAGTTCTTTGAAAATGTTGTGAACAACGGCTAGGACCAAACTTGATTCCCAGAGTCTTAAAGCAGCTAAAACAACTTATAGTTGTAAAAGCTGTATTAATTAGTATTCGTATGAACATCATTTCAAGAGTGCTGAGACTGTTGAGAGTTTTAAATCTTTGCTCAAGACTCATCTTTTTTCCCATGGCATTTGATTCATGCAGTCTGAGAAAAAGTTCAAGCTGATTTTTATTGTTGTGTGTTGTATTTTATTGTTAACTTTATGGTTTTTGAGTGGCACAAGATGTATTTTTAACTTTTTTCATTTGATTTAACTGTAAAGCACTTTGGTCAGCTTTTGTTGTTTTTATGTGCTAAAGAAATAAATTGACATCTTTAATCGCTGTCAATTTTGTCGTACTCAAGTTATTTACCTAAAGTTTTTGGCTATTTGCTAAGGCTGACAGCATCAGGAGTAGCTATTTGTGCCACCAGGTGCTTTTTTTAGCTTGAATATATGCTGGAATAGTTATAATGAGAACTTAATTGAGGGTAAACATTTATAAATCAGTGTTTCAATAAACCTTGCATCCATTTTTGGCAAATGAGTTGTTTTAAGTCAGCAGAGCTCCACTTTGGTCTTGGCCCTGATTGAACTAGCAGTTAGCTAGTTCTGAGTCAGGTAAGAATTTAACAGCCTTATAAAGTGGACTCAAAAGGACATTATCTTTCAGCAGTCTCAGAGTGGCTCACAGGATGCATAACATATGGAGTGCAGACAATTGTAACATTTAAAGTATACATTTTAATAAATACAATCATTTGTATAGACAGAAAGTTGGGAGTCCTGGCTAAAATAAACAGAAGAGGGAGAAGCCTCGAACCAACCAACAGTTGACCGTCAAATTCCGGCGGCTCCTCTCTCCCTATAATGCAGGAAATTAACCCTAACCAAAGTTCAAGACCATAGGTGTGGGTAGGAATGTAGACCAACTAGTAAAGTTCAGCTCCCTCTTCACCACAACGGACCAGCAAAGTCCTCAATACTGTAAAAGTTGCACCGATCCGTCTGGTAATCTTCCACTCCATTCTTTCATCTCTTGTGAACCAAACCCTAAGATACTTTAACTCCTCCACTCGAGGCTGAACCTTACTCCCAACCCAGAGATGATAATCCACCATTTTCCGACTGAGGACCATAGCCTCAGTTTTGGAGGCGCTGATCCTCATTCCAGCCGCTTCACCCTCGACTACTGTATTCAGGATTGTTGTGAGAGGAAAGTCCTGCTTTAGGTTCTGATTACTCTGACAGTTTACTAATGGGCGTATTATTTACTGGTAACATTACTCTTGTTTGTTCTGATTTTTGCACTTATTGTATTTATCTGTGAATGTTTCAGGTGTTTTACTACCAGGAGACTGCGTACCCTCCTGAGGACGGGCGTTTTAAAGGACACGCTGTGTGGTCAGGAGACGTTACGAGGAAAGATGCCTCCATCACACTGCAAGAGGTGCTTCCGACCTTCAACGGTACCTACATCTGCCAGGTGAAGAACCGCCCAGACGTGCACGGCAGCAATGGAGAGACCGTCCTCAAAGTTGTTGACAAAGGTCGGCACAGTGTTTGCTACTTAAGAACTTTTTGTTAGTTTGTTGTATTTATAGTATAAATAAAGCAGTAAATGAGAATTTTTGTAGGTTTGAGGAGATGTTTGTCTTATTAGCCTCTTTAGTTCATAGAAAAGTGAACTTTGAAGCTAATAAAGATTGTAATGTGTATTATTGCATAAAGGAACGTCAATTTAAACCAGTCAGATGCTCTTTTTGATCTGTTTTGTCTCTCCTAGCATCCATGTCTGAGATTACCATGCTGGCGACTGCAGTTGGAGGTGCCTGCGGTGTCGTTCTGGTCCTCCTCGGTATCTTTGTGGCTGTGAGGGTCTGCAGGAGAAAGCACAGTGAAAATGACTTTGAGATGCAGACGGAGACGACGTACGAGAAGAAAGGCCCAACTGTATGGTGAGAGCTAGAGAACCAAATCTCTTCCGATCCACTTGGGATGGAGTCTGCTGGGCTTGGTTGGGTCCATTTTTGTTTTTTTGGAAGCGACCAATCATAGGCGTCCTTTTTTTTTTTCTTTCTACCATATCTGTTTATTTCATATCAAAATGAACTTTTTAAATTTTTTTAGACATTTTAAGCAGTAGCATACATGTAAATATATACAGGCTGTTCTTGGTGTGGGTCTTGAGACTTTTACTTTTAACTCGCAGCAGCAGTGACTGTTTAAAGATGATCTGATCATCACTTCTCAATAAATGAAATGTAAAACAGTCCCAACTGTAAAAACTGCTGCGGTGAATTAACTTTAAATCTTCCTGCTGAAGTCTACTGAGGAGACAGGTTTAAGAAACTGCAGAGGTAGAACGCTGTTTATAGAAAACTTCTTTTTCCCAGTGAGGGACGGCTAAACTAACGGCTGATGCTTCAGTGTCTGCAACGCTTCGAACCCAGTTCAGGAACTTCCAGAACTCAGGAGAATAATGGTGGACTAGTGCTCCTCACTGGTGTCATTGACTCTCTGGCCTTCCTTTGTATCAAACTGAGGATTATTGGTATTCGTTTTTATTATATAAATATATATTGGTTAAGGCAAACCCAGTTCTTAAATTTTTCAAACAGAATGTCCACGGTTGGCCCGTCTCACTGTTTTTATGTTGTGTGCGGCGGCGTCAGTTCACCCGCGGAAGCAGCTCACCTCATGGTCGTAGCAAAGAAGAAAAAAGAGGAAAGTTCAGAAGATGAATCAGATCTGAGCAGCGACGATGACGAAGAAGGTTGTCTCGACGATGATGACTATGACGACAATTAGATAAATGCACATTTTAGCTGAATCAGCTTTTTTAAGTTGATATAGCTTAAAGTTTTTAAATATAATTAAATGTGCAAATCAGATTTCTGGTTACTGAACGTCAAGATTATTCTCGTGATGAATAATAAAAATATTTACCAGGGCGAGGCAGGACCAGAGATAACCGTCTGAGTGCAATGCATTCCTCTCTCTCTCGCTGTCCTTTTTCTCCTCCCATCGTCCTCCGACACTTTGTCTGAGCAGCATTAAGCAGAGATTATTCAATTCTTTGTTTTATGTTTGAATTAAAAAATGTTTTATTGTACATAGTTGTTTGACTTCTTTCACCTATAACTAGTACTCACCAACATTTGGAAATGGTGTGTAAATTTTATTCTATTTAAACTTTTTTTTTTTACTGTTTCCTGTGAGTCTGGCTTCATGGATGGGATTGCTACAGTTTGTAAATAAATTTGTGAATTTTTTATGTAACGGCGCATTTTCTTTCAGACTTTTCAGCAGAGCAGTTCACTGCACGTGAAGTTTATCTGCAGTCATTAGAAAAGGGAGTCCACCGTCCAATCTTTGGGTTTTACATATCAGGACATAAAGAAAATTGTTCTTTTATTAGATTATAAATTTATTAAAATCTAACCTTTAGTGATTTCATTGCATCATTTATTAAACAAAAACAAAGCCGAAATAGAAACCACCTTTAGCAATAATAACACATTTATGGTGATCTGCATATAAGTCAAACTCTGACCTTCTCTGTAGCAGGACCAAGACTTTGGAACGAGTTGCCTCTGCTTGTCAGACAGGCCCCCCTCCCTCTCGGTTTTCAAATCCCGTTTAAAAACTCACCACTATTCAGTAGCTTTCAACACCAGATGATCTGTGTTGTGAAACTGTACGCTTCACACTGGTTTGTTGTCATATTTATTATCTGCATCGTTTTTATGTCCATATTTTTGATTTACTTCATTTTGTATATTGCTTTGTGTGTTGTCTGTTGTTCTCTCTGTACAGCACTTTGTTTGGCCTTGTAGCTGTTTTAAGCGCTCTATAAATAAAATGGTATGGTAACTCTGTTGTGGAGGAATTTTGGCACACTCTTCTTTCCAGTGTTGCGTCACTTCATTGAGGTTTGCAGACATTTGTTTCTACACAACCATTTAAAGGTCCAGACACAACATTTCAGTCAGTTTAAGGTCTAAGCTTTGACAGGATCTCTGCAACACATTGATTCTGTTGTAGATTTTCTGCTTTTTGTTTATTTTCTTTGTACCTGACCGAGTTTCAGACCAGCTTTAAGCCTCACATTTGATTAAAGAGTACAGGTCTTATCTGCCCAGAGGATATAAATCCAGAAGTTTTCTGGTCCATTCAGATGAAACTTTGCAAACTTGGGTCGTGCTGCCTCGGTCTTTTAGAGAGAAGGGGCTTTTTCCTGGCATCCCTTCATTTTGAGTCCTCTAATCGTTTTGTCATGAAATTCAACATTTAACCTGCTAACTGAGGTTTGTAGAGTCAGAGATGGAGCTTTTTATTTACTTTTTTAGTGTCTACATATTGCGTGGTCTGACCTTGGGGTAAATTTGCCACTATGTTCCCTCCTGCGAAGATTGGCAGCGGTCTTAAATGTTTTCCACTTGTAAATAATCTTTCTCACTGTAGAATGATGGGGCTATATATATATATATATATATATATATATATATATATTTCTAGTTTTTATTTTGCTTTAAAGTTTAGTTTCCTCAGAAGATTGGGGTGGCCAAAGAATAATCTATGGTGGCCAAGGCCACCATTGGCCACCTCTTGGCTCCAGTTGCACCTGGTGGTGGATAAAATTGCACCCTCCACTGGCCATTACCTGTCACTCCTCCTCTGCTACCCATTTGAATATCTTGAATCAAAAACATTAAGGTTTACTTGCATTCTGTTCAGTTCCAGTCCTGAAAAACACTTGTATCCAAAACTGCAAACATTCACTATTCAAACGATGTCGGACATCACTGGTTTAAAAAAAGTTAAATCTGGTCCTCTGGACATTCAAAAACACACACACACACACACACACACACACACACACACACACACACACACA